GGTTTTTTTTTTTGTTTTTTTTGGTTTTTTTTTTTTTTTTTTTTTTTTTTTTACATTTTATACAACCATAACACTTGAAAGGAGAAAAAGAATCCTAAGAAAATGAAAACAAAGTCCTCTGGAGACATAAGATGAGGATGGAGACAAAATCTGACAGTAGCAAAAACTGTTTTGCTACTCATCCTTAGAGTCCTCTCCCAGTATGCACAGCCAATAAGCAGTAAACATTCTGGTCATGACAGGAAAACATTTCACAAATGCTCTCTGTGTTTCTAGAGGACATAAATTGAATTTTTTAATAAAATGTTAAGTCTCAAAGCAATTCAAAAGATTGCATTTCGAGAAGAGAATCATATCTAAGCAAAAGAAATTCTATAGAACTGTTACTCAAATACCTAACAGAAAGCTTAAAACATGACACGGAAAAAAGACTGCAAAACATCTTGACATTGCTGTCATATTACAAGTCAGTACTTCAAGAGCAATGAATGAGATATAAATATTTACCCTAGGTAGCTAGACCACAGAATGCAAACAGATTCCAGAGATAAAATACAATATTTCAATATCTTTAGTGCTGCAAATGGAAATGTTAACTCTGCCAGGCCCATTGATCCTGAATGATGAATACAATCAATTACATTTTTTACCCGTCAGTCATTCGCATCATTGCCTTTCATGCAGCTGTTTCCTGTCTTTCAATTCTTGTTTCAAGGCACTGAACAACTTTTTATATCCACTTTCCATTCAGTCTTTTTAACAGATTCCCTACTGCCATCTCAGGTTAACAATGCTTGTTTCAGAACTTGTCTGTTTTCTTCCCATATTTCCTCAGTTACCTGTGTCCACAGTATCCTGTCTCAGAAAGGTGGCTCTTCTGGTCTCTGAAGTGTCATCTTAAATCTCACTCTTCCTCAAGCTCCACAAATTTTAACCACCTCCTAACAATCTGATGCAAAGTTCACTGGTCAGCAAGAGCCATTAACTTCAATGGGCTATGAATCAGGACCAGATTGCTGCCAGTAGCTCTGGACTGAAATCTAGCTAAAGAAAAATAACAAAAGAAACTGTATTCGTACCCTTGTTGCTAATTACAGACTGCTACTTGAACACAATCATGGCAATAGCAGATCCTTGGTTAATACCAGCTCTTACTATTTCCAGTATATTTTCTCCAGTCCTTATGCAAAGGCCTTACATTGTTGTACCTTTATTTGTATAAATTCAGAGTGATGCCAAAGGTCTCTGACAGAGCTTGAATAAATAAGCATACACTAGTTCCTATAATTTTTTTTATATATTACAAAATTCTACATTCTACATCTAGGTGGGTAAGACAAGGAAAATCATCATATTTATGAACCAGGTTACTAAATCATTGCAAAAAAATCCACCATTATAATGGGGTTTGGAGTGAAAGAGTATTAAGAAAGCACAGGGAAAAGTTTAAATTTAGTATGTTTTGAATTCTCACTAGTGAGGACATAAAATTCTGTTCTTCCAAGGAATCGCTGTCTAATCCCACTAATCTAACAGCGATTTGAAAAAAAAGCATTCCAGAAATCAAAAATCACACTGTAACTCTATGTTATTCTTCTTTCTTCACAAACATTCTAGTACTTATTCCCTCTTCATTTAATTCTCCCTGCCTCTTGCAAACTCAGGTCTCTAATGCATATTTTTTATAAGGAAAAAAATCAAATTAATTGCTTTTGCCCAGCTTTCCTTCTCCTATCATTTTTTAATGTTTTGTAAGTGCCTTGTTGTAAAGCCAATGCCTTTCTGCAATCCCACAGTGCTCCCACCAAGTGGCACAGGGAAATCAGTTCTAACAGAGGATTCAGGCAATCTAATGTACAACAATAAGATACACAAATGCTAGGTAGAAGATTCTGTTCATGTTATGGGAAAAGTTATCATCAGACAGCCACTATTGCCTACATAAAGCTAAAATATTACACAATTATTAAAAACCATGATGTGGTTTGAGGCTATTTCAACAGTATTTGACAGTAATTACAATTCACATTTTTACCCTATGTTGTACTAAGCAAGGTACTTTAGGGAAGGTGATAAAAGAAATACTTCCTATTACCACATAATTGTGCCACATGTGTTAGCAAGGACAAAACCAATTAGATGACTTTCAATGAAGAGGTATAGTTTTGGGGGTACAGGTTTTTGTTTGCTTTTTCTTAAAGATATTTATGCTAAGACTTTTATTATAACAAAGTACACTCCACCCTTGCATCTTCAGCTATAGTAGGCAAATGCTTTGTAGAAATGAAATTACTGTTGCAACAAGGTTGCTTGTGACATTGTTTAATACAAAAAAAAAAAAAAGATTTGGGACACAGTACATTGATAGGGGGTGGAGTGTATCATATACATACAAAAGAGGGCTATTACTTCTGTCATCTGGCATTAATGTGGGAAGAGAGAACAAAACCAAATGCATTTTCTTTCCAGCACTGAAACATGCAAAGACAAAATTACAAGTTGTATGCAGCTCAGAATAATAAAAAGAAATGCCCCAGTATACTTGTTTAGATTTTTAAAAAATATATTTAATCCTCTGATCTTTCACTTCAAAACTTAGAATTAAGCAATGAGTGAACAGGATCTGAAATACAGACAAGGCATTGCTCACATCACATTAAAAGGCATCTTTTAATTGCTGCTGTGGCTTTCTAAACTTACACTGAACAGAATTTTTAGTTGCTGGGAATTAGAAATGCAAGATGAACTTGGCCACATTACATCTATTTCTTTAAGTGGAATTGTAAATATGCAATAACTTGCTGTTCCAAAGAGGCAACATGCAGAATTCAAAATTGTTTCTTGCAGGATTCTATTGATCAGTGTATGAAGAGATATCGAAGCAGTGGTACAAAATCCACAGCTCAAGCATGAAATCCTAGTGGCTGGATCTCTGAGTATACTGTTCTCCAAAATACACCACTTCCTTTTAACCATGAATTTAGTTTTAGGAAAACAGCTGCTCACCAACTTTTATTATTAAAAAAAAAAAAAAAAAGCAGGGAGGATGGGAGGAGGGAAGAGGTGAAAAGAGCTCATGCATTATGATGATATTTAGCAGAGAGCTGCAAACAGAAAGCAAATATTTTAAATGTGATAGACTTCAAGCAGAAATGTGAAATTATTTTTTCCTAGTAAATAGCTTGCCAGAGTTGGTTGGGACAAAATTTGGGTTGCAGCTATAGACTGAAGCAGCAGTGTGGACAAACAAAACAAACAAACAGGCATTTACCCTCCACCCCAACTCCCCCTTTCTCTCCCAGTTAGCAAAGTATGACTGATGCTTTTGGTTGGCCACAAGGCAAATATTAGCTAAAATGTCATTTAGCCACATCCACAGTCCCAGATGCTTAAAACTTATCATGGATTAAAGCCATGAAATAAAAATTTAAAAAGAAATTTCAATTTGAAATTTTATTGGCATGTTGCAGGAATGGTCAACATCGATTGACAGGAGAGACTTCGTCCACATACTCTGAGAACAGCCTTCCTGCACCTCCCCCCTTTTCTTTCTCTTGCTCTTTCAGCATTAATGCTATTAAAAGCCAAACAAAATACTGGCTATGAGTGTAAAGAATGCTGGTTTTTTTTGGAATGTTGCCATGGATCCTGCTTCCAGTCGGGTCCCACAGAAGGAGGGTGCAGCCTCTTGGCTCTACAGCAGGCTGGTCTCCCCGGGCAGGGCAGAAGGAAGATAGCCACGTACTCCTGCTCCTCCCTATTCTTTCCCATCCACTATATCCAGGTCCTTGATCACCCTCAGTTTGCCACTGGCATCGATCCTGCGCTTCTCGCGTATTAGATCCTCCAGGCTGTGGAACCTCACCGTATGCACCTTGTTCTCTGCCAAGTGGATTTTGAGATAGTACTGCTGCTGGTGCTGGGTGCCAGCAGCCGCCTGCAGCTCCCCCCCGGCTTTGAACTCCCGTTTCCCGAAGCGGCACCAGGCGGCGAAGCTCTCGGAGTTAGTCCAGCAGATCTCGTCGCTTTTTAAGCCCAGGTGCCCGCAGGCGTTCTGCACCACCAGCTCCGCCACCAGCGGGCGGAAGCGGTACCAGCTATTCACCACCCGGCCCACGTTGCCCGCGGCCGCCTCGTACAAGCTGTCCTGGCGGATCTGCCCCTGGTGCAGGTGGATGATCTGCCCGCCGCCCACGTACACGGCCCAGTGCGGCGGCGGGTGCTCCGACGGCCCCAGGTAGAGCAGCTCCAGCAGGTCCCCCGGCTTGCAGAGGGCTGGCAGGGCTGACACCGAGTAGACGCTGAGGTCCCCAGCCTGGGGGCCGCTGCTGACCTTGGAGAAGATGCATTCCTGGCCGCGGAAAGCGGAGAACTGAGTCTCGTTCAGCACCAGCTGGTGGTGGAGGTGGTGGGTGGGCGTCTCCTGCCCAGGGCTGCCGGAGCCCTTCACGCCGTACTTGTCTGGCTGGCCTCGCTCGTCCAGGTCCTCCTCCTCATCCGAAAAGAAGTAAGCCACCCCGACGCGCAGCTCGTCCTTCTCGATCCCCGAGGGGTCCCCGGTCGGCAGCTCGCTGTAATTCAGGTGGGTGATGCGATCCAGTTGATTTCCCATCAATGACAGGGCGAGGCGAGGGCAGAAATCGCCGGATCTAAAGGAGGGTGGGGTGGGCAGACACAGAGAAGAACAAGAGATGGGAAGGAGAGTGTACGCAGAAGGAAGGAAGGAAAGAACGAACGAAACAAACAAAAAAAAAAAAAATCAAGGCACATACAAAAGATTTCAGCGATTCCGCCCTAAGCCCCCATCCCTCCCCGACTCCTTCCCTCTCCTTCGTACAAGGGAGAAACTCCCAGTGCGGACCCTTCCCCCTACCCCTGGGGTACGGAGCAGGGCACAGCCCCGACTCAGGAGCGCCGGCTCCGAGCGCCAAGAGAGGAGCCTCCCCGCCGTCCGCCGCCTCCGAGCGGGGGGACGGAGTTGCACCGAGAGTCTCCGCTCTGCGAGGGGAGAGGGCTCCGGGGCTCGGGGAAGCTCCGGCCGGAGGGTCCCGAGCCCTCCCTCCAGCGGTGCGCAGCTGAACCGCGCCGAGCAGCACTGCGTGCGAGGAGGCAGCAGGAGGAGCGCACGGCGCCGGAGCTGCCAGCCCTGCCCGCCCGGTGCCGGCAGCCCGGCCGGGACCCCGCAAGGCAAGGGCAAAGAGCAGGCGACCGACATCTCCTGCCCGAGGGGGTCCCTCCCGTCCTCTTCCGTACCCGTGGTCGCCCAGCGCCAGAACCCCCCCAAACTCCTTTAAAGTCGTCCTGTCCCCATGGGCGCCGCAGAAGAAGCGCCTCTCGTGCTCGCCGCCGCCGCCACCACCCGCCTGCTCCGCCCGCGCCGCTCTGGGCTGCCCGGCCCCTCCGGCGAGGATAAGTAGCGGCGGCGCCGCTCCCGAGCCCGCCCCGGCCGCGCTCATTGGCCGCGCCCGGCGGCGGCGGGGCTGAGCTGAGCCGCGGCTCTGCCCGCCCGGGCCCCGCTCTGCCGCTGCCGACACGCCGGGCCCGCACACCGGGCTGCCCCCGCCGAGCCCCGACCCCCGGGCTGCTCCGGCCAGACCCGAGGCTGCGGCAGGCGGGGCGTCCCGCGGAAAGGGGGCTGGAGATCGTTCGCACCGCGTGAAGCCGCTGCCAAGCTACCACTGCATCGGACAGGAGTAAAAAAGAGAAAAATAAAAATAAATATAAAAAGAAAGGGGGAAAAAAAAAAGTAATTTCTACCAAACTAACCCTCCTAGGAGGGGCGCACGTTGCAGAGTTGCTCTGTCCCTCGAGGCTGGAAGTGGGTGCCCCTCACCTCACTTCAGCAACCTCGAGTTGCACCTGTGCGGTCTGAGCTGATATCCTGGGCTTCCTTTAGTTGAAGAGAGAGAGGCATTTGCAGAGGGCTGTACTTCGTGCCCGTTACACCTCCTATTTTAGGACGGCATGAAGTGCCTTAAAGAGCTCCCTGTCTCTTGCCGTCGCCTAGATGTGGAGTTGGAATGCTTGATGTTTGGCAGTAGGTGAGATGACTCGGTCTTTCCACATCTGGACAAAGTAGCAGTTGTGGGTTGTTCTCAGACGTGACTAGAAGACATGCTATGGCTTGTCTTAAGTAAAAAAAAAAAAAGAGACTGTCTGGCAGTAGCAGTCCACTTCATCCAAAAATGTAAATAATAAAATCTAAAAATCGGTCATCTGTAGTAGCTACTAACAATAGACAATTTTGCACCTAATTTTGCACATTATGGAAATGGAACTCAGAAATTATTTGTTCATTTGACTACTCTTCCCCCCGTGAGGCTGTGTCAATGATGGGATGGTAACCTGGTCCTTCTGTGTTCTTAGTGTGAACTTCTGAGAAGTGAGAATTTAAATATTTAAGACACTTCATGAAAAAAAAATCTAATGACATTCTTTGGTTCAGATGTGAATCATATTAATGTACCATTTTTAGCTGGAAGTAAATCTACCCATTTCTTTGCAGTGAAAATAGTTTTGTCATCTAGCCATAAGTATTTTTGCTTTCGGTGTTTATGGATAATATCTCTCTTTGCTGCTGTCCTTTTCCCAGTCAGCCTTCAGGTTTAGTTAACTGAGAACTATAATGCCATCACTTTAGTCTCATTACAGAGAAATATACATCCTCAAAAATAGTGAATTTCAGTTTTTCGAGGTCCAAGCTGTATACCTATGTTCATATTGATCATATGCGGAATTTCTTAGATAAATCTGTTTACTTTGAATGATCTTTTCTTTTTCCATTCAAAAATTGATATAGCTGTCTTTTTAGAATGGCTTATTTTTGTTCTCATTATTTTTTTAATATATGAAAAGGCATCACATCATAAATGGAGGAGAAAAAGAGAGATGTGTTAGTGAAATTCAAAGACTGACATCAGTTATTTTTTCACTGTGGCAGTTATACTAATCTATTGATGATTACAGACTTCCCATGTCTCATAAACTCAGAGGTTACGGCCTGAGACTCACAGGAATTAAACTGATTTGCAGCAGTTAAGGATGCATGGTCTGTAGAATCAGAAAGATAGTTTGAAAAAAAAAAATTAAAAATAAAGATTGTTTCCTAATACATGTTTTTTAAAGTTTCAGAGGACTAAACATAACAGATGGATGTTATTTATTGCTAGAATTGTGTAAATACTTTTCTAATGATTGTCAGAAATTATATGTTCTTTTACAGTTTGACCTTCACCAACTGCAACATTTTAAATTAAATTATGAGGACACTGTAATAGGTTTAGAGCTAAGGCTGTAAAACAGTGTTTAAATATTTTGATTTTTATTTAATAACTGTTAATGTGCTTCATTTTTAAAGCTAGTCCAAGCTGAAAACCATTTTCTGTAGACCTTGATCGACAGTTTCTGTTTTCTAAACACTTTACATTTTTCCCGTTTAAAGTCTGCATCTTTTTAGGTTGCACTCGCACAGTTCACACTTCCCACGTTTGCCAATCATCAAGGCTATGTGGAGTAATTTTTAGCTAGTTCTAAACAAACAAAACATTATTTCATCCTTTCCATGCAGAACGGTGGAGAACAGACTGCTTCAACAAACTGCAGGTGCAGAAGGATGGAGTCTGGGTATAGGAAAGGCTCTGCCCTTCGAAATAGGAGGAGTATCTCCTGCCAAATTTTAACCATTTTATTGGTGATCCCCCGTGGTTTTGCAAGTCTGCTCAATGAGAGTATTCAGTCTCATGTTGAAGCACTTACAATCCCTTACAATTCATCTCTCTTCCTGACCTGTATTCAACACACTTCCAGCAGCCATTTCTTTGTTTCATTTCTGTCCTCTTCTCTGTACACCGTCTCATCAGTGCTTTGTGCTCTACCACTATCCCTCAGGAGGAAATTTTCCCTCAGTTTCTCTTCAGTCACAGTTTTATAATAGTGTCAAGAAGTTGATTTAAAAAAAGAAAACACATTAAAAAAACTCCTATCAACCAACAAACCCCAAACTTTTATATAACTGTGATTAGAGGACACTGCTGGAGATGCCTCTTTTGTCTGAGCTAATTTGATTAATGAATTTATTATCTGCTTTAGATGTTTAACTTCTGAGTGCTTGGCTGCTCTTAGATGGTGGCACTGGCAGTGCAGCACCACTCTGTTCACACTTCCATTGACCAGCTTCAGCCTCATTAAGTGGGGTCATAATCTCTCCTTGCACCAGGACATGGGAATTTACAATATTCGTAGAAAGAAACATGATAACATCATCATCTCTGGCTCTGTCCTGGTCTACTCTGAGAGAGTGAATTTATATTTTTTCCATTGCTATTTTTTCTTTTTGTGCCTTTTTCCATACTTGGCATTTTGTAACTGTTGCATTTATATTTAATTTAATACAGCGAAAACCTTTGAAATATGTGGCAAAATAGATAATCTGTAGTTTATTTTTTAAACCTTATTTTTTAAATGTTCTTTTCATCTTGCCTTGAGCTGAGCTTTGGAGCCTTGGACCCCTGTTGCTAAAAGTAGAGCTGAAACCACCGTTGATTTTAATGAGTGGAGAACATTTGTGCAGAAAAATTTAGGAACACATGTTTCAAAAAACAACCAGAGATGAAAAAATTGATGATAAGGGTGGAAACTTTCATATCTGTTATGAACTTTAGATTGTAGAAAACTGTCCATTACAATCCTGTTAACATCAGGTCTCAGAGGCCCAGAAGCTCTTATCTATTTCAGGAACTCTACACTTGGTTGAAACTAAATACAGTTTCTACATCTAACTAGTCTGGGAGAGTCCTGAGGTTTTGGATAGGCTGAGGGAGCTGTGCCAGTTCAGCCTGGGGATTACTGAGGGAGACCTTATCAGTGTCTGAAGGGAGGATGTCAAGAGGATGGCCCAGCGTCTGCTTGGTGGTGGCAGGCAATAGGACAAGAGGCAAGGGCAGAAACTGATGCACAGGAAGCTCCACCTGAACATGAGGAAGAAATTCTGTATTGTGCAGGTGAGCAGACACTGGAACAGATTTCCCAGAGAGGCTGTGGAGTCTCCCTCACTGGAGATATTCAAGAACTGTCTTGACACAATCCTGTGCTAAGTGCTCTGGGATAACCCTGCTTGAGCAGGGAGGTTGGACCAGATGACATGCTGTGGTCCTTTCCGGATTTGGGCCCTTCAGCCTTGGACAGCTTTTGCCATTTTTATGCAGTGATGGTGAAATACAGAATGTGAAAACTCAAGAAGATAATTGTGGTCACAGTTTTTCTTTTGCCTCTTTTCTGCTCGTCTGCTGGCTTCTGGTAATTTCATGATTCTTGCATTCATAGGGTCACTTATAAGTAAAATTGTCCAGGACGTGTTTTTTGGCCCTGGGGTGCAGTGTAACCACATAATTAATTGTCCGTTTGAATGTTCTAAACTCCCAAACCAAATAACTGCATCCAAAAGACCTCTTAGGAATTATTCCTAATCCATTTTAATCCCTAAGATATATGAAAAAATAGTATCTGACTTGTGCCAAAGCTTTTCAAAAGGCCGTGCTACCTAATAATTTTATGAATAATACTAATTTTATGAATAATACTTCACTGATCCTTGGGCTGGGCCTGTGCAGTCAACTGCTTGGACTCTACCCAGCTCCTTTCTATTAAATAATATTTTTAAGGACTCCAGACTTAATTTCTGATCAAGTGATACAACCAAAAAGATATTGCAGTAGGAAAGATTTTGAGGAGGAATGGAAAGAAATACCTTAATTTAAAAGTGTTCATCTTTGGAAAGCTGTTATGTAGACAGAATCCCAAACGGGGTAGTCACTTCTAAGTTCTCAGAGAGCAGCAGATCATGGTGGTGGGCAGGGGCGGGGTTTGAAGAGGTGGAGTTGCACCCAGGTGCAGCTTCCCAGTGCCCTGGCAAGAGGAGAAGAGCAGGAGTGCTGGACTGGGGCCAGTTGAGGCAGGCTGAGGGAGGTCATGGCAGTCATGCAAAGCCATTCCAACTCAGCAGCCTGGTCCAAGCATGGGCCAGAGCTCTGATGCATCTCCCACGTCAGGGCCTGAAGCCACATCCTAGCTCCTCAAAACTCTTTCTCATTAACTTGCTTTTCTTCTGGACATCTTATCCAAGGTTCATCTTGTCAGACCTGATCTTGAACAGAAAATAGCAAACCCTGAGGAAGTGATGGAAGAGTTTGTAGATCTTGCACTCAGATCCCTGACAGTAGCATCATATTCATTCTTGGGAGTATGAAAGAAAAATAGCTGACAGACTAGATTTTCATTTAGATGTCTGTGTCTGTACACTAAATGGAAACTGAACTGAATTCATAGGCTTTTTTTTCGGGGGGGAGGATGTTACAGCTTAAATTACTACTATAAGCAAAGA